GGGGGGGGGGGGGGGGGGGGGGTAACCCCCCACTTTATCAATTGTAAGAAAACCACTGTATAAGGGGAGGTAACCTACCCCATTCGGTACGCTCTAAGGCCTATATCAGGTCGGCCAACATGGTTCGTGGATGGCAAGTTCAGCCCAGCCTCCGCGCTGGGGAACGCTTTTTCACGAGTGACGTTGAGGCTTGTGGCGAAACGTTTCGATGCAATGCAAACCCTCCCCCCAAAAGGACAGGCGCTCAAGTTGTGCACTGGCTTCTATCTTTGCTCGCACTGGGTCGTTGCAAAGTGGAAGTAACGACTTAAACGCCAGGAACCACCCGAAAGTTTGAGGCGGGAGGCTCCAACTTCAACACCCGCCCGACACAGCGCGACACCCCGACAGCTTAGGAGTGCAATCACCGTTCCAGATTCCACATTACCCTTGTCACCCTGTAAGGAATGCAGAGGAAAGCTTTCTTGCCGGGCATCCCAGGATTGAATGTCATAGCCGTGGCCACAATCCACAACTGGTCCCGTCACACCTGGCAAATCTCGCGGGCATTGAAGCGTGATTCGGCCGTTCCCTGATAAGCTAAGCACTGTCTTGAAGTATTCTGTCGGTTTGCGTGGTACAGTAATTGCTCTTGTTCACGGTTTTCACCCCGGCGGAGAGGCAGCACCTTGAAAGTCTTCCGCGAGCTTTGCCAAGTTGGGCTCGCCGTCCGGGCGCCGCCATTGCGAGTATGCTGGCCAGGACGGAACCAGGTCGAGAAGGAGGACGGGCCTCTGACAGAAAAGCACGGACAACTCCTGCTTAGGACCCGACCAGGCCGGCACTCAGACTTGCCTGCCCGCAGCAGCACACTTCTCGATGAAAAGTTTTGTCGACAGGTCGCTGCCCCAAACCCGTTGGACCGCAGGCTCCTGCACAGTGCCATTGCACGCCATGGCCCTGTCGCGGGGAAGCACAGAAACATTGAGCCCAGCTCTGGCGATCGACCAGCAAGATGCAGAACTCTGCATAACTCCGCTGTGCTGCGCTACCTGCCAGCCTTTTTCAACCTTCATCCTGTTGCTCGCGGAGCAGGTGGTCCCGCAGTGTGCGCACCGAGGGGTAGTCGAAAACGGTGGAGGGCGTGAAGCTCATGCCGAACTCGCGGCTCATCATTGTTACCAGGGTCACGCCTGACAAGCTATCCATCCCAGCATCCACGAGCTGCGTGTCCAGCTCAATCTCATCGGTACTCGACGTGACCTCCTTGACAAGCCGCAGGAGCTGCTGTAAGACTTCCTGAGGGTTTAAGGAGGTCTCTTTGGCCACCGGCACTTCGGGCACTTCACGTGCTTCGGCCTCGGGCGGCTTCTCCGTCGCTGCTGGCGTTGCATGCGTTGCTTGAGGCTCCGGTTGAGATTCCTTGCGGGACACTTCTTCCTCGAGCAGTGCCACCTCGTACTCGGCCTCTGCGTCTCCGACGGACTTTGCGAGCAGCCGCACTTCCTGAACCACCCCGAGAGCATCTGCTTTCAAGCCTTCCGCAGCATACAGCTCTGCAACGAGGAACAAGCATCGCACGCGGCCCTCGGCATCGCCCAGTTTGGTCAGCAGCTCTGCCGCATCGTGAGCTGTGCGACGAGCGGTGGGATGCCGGCCAACTGCTCCCAAAGCATGCGCTCGCCAGTAGAGAGCTCTGGCTCGGAGCATCCCGTCACCTAGTTTCCCAGCCACCGCAACGGCCTCCTTGGACGGATTCAGCAGCGATTGCTTCACGTCGCCAGTCTCTGCAGCCAGGGCCAGTTCGGTCATTGCCACAAGAGCATTCACCAAACCATGCCGATCCCCACTCTGCTTGCATAGATCTCGGCTCTCCATTGCCAGATGCCTTGCCTCGCTGAAGTTGCCCTCCGCGCGGTGTAGCCCTGCCAACTCCTGCATTGCTGCTGCTTCCAACTGCAAATCGCCAAGGTCCCTAGCAAGCTTAAGTCGCTTTTCGCTCGCCTCCAGGGCTGCATCCATGTTCCCGTCCAGTCTCTGGATGCTGGACAGAACATGCAAAGCTCTAGCCTTGCCTCGTCGGTCTCTTACAGCTTCCGACAGGTCAAGGGCCTCCTCCGCTAAAGCCAAGGACTTCACCAAGTCTCCGCCGTTTGCCAAAGCCACGGCCAAGCGGACGCAGCTGGCCGCTTCGCCAATCCTATCCTCGGCGGCTTCGGCCACAGCCCGCTCACGAGCGGCTGCTTCTCCTGCTGCCGAAAAGCGCCCGCAATCCAGATGAATGTCGAAGAGGTCCCGGTGGGCTCGGGACTCTTCCACGTGGTCCTTCACATCCTTTGCTATGGCCACGGCTCGATTCAACGTCCGCACGGCCTCCGCAACATCGCCACCTCAGCTCTAAGACCGGCCGACCGGCCTTCCGCACTCGACGTGTACGCTGTCCACTGTGCCCCTGGGCCCCTGGACCCCGCCTGCCAGGAAGGAGGCCGCCTGACCACGGCAAAGTCTGGCCTGCAACGGCCAAAACAAGCTTGCTTCGCACCCATTCAGAGGTGTCATCTAGCAATCAGGGCCGAAGAGATTCGAGAAAGAAACAGGAACAAACATTTCCCGCAACACACAGTTCCGTGAACCAAATGGTTTCGAGAGGAAGATGTGGGATTCGCGAAGGCATCTCTCTTGCTGGGTCATGTATCGCACTCGCAAACGGCAGCGTGCAACGGTAAGGATGTGCAGCACGGAACCCACCAGAGACACCTCCTAGAGAGAAGGCTGAGCATCAGAGGAAGGCTTTGCTTTGAATCTTGCCAGCTGCTTTCATATACGTGCAAAGATGCACTTCTGATGGCACCTGGGATGGATCGCCCTTCCCGTCGATGAGCTGCTGGGCATCCTGCCGGACCAAGCACAGGACTTGATAGACCTAGACTTACACCTCGTCGGAAGGCAATGTCACAAACGGCAGCATCATCTGTTAGGATCAGCTTCGGAAGCAAGCCAGGTTGCAAATTTCACAAACAGCTCCTTCAGCTCTCTGAGCGCACCTTAGCAGGCAGGGTGGAGGTAGGGCTGACGAGCCTCTGTCACTCCAGTTGTGCCACAGTCAACCCTCCCAAACATTGTTGAGCTCACATAATAACCCCACCTCCCCGCCGGCCGGTTGTTTGATTATTGAGAGGGGGTCGCAGTACTACTGCGCTCGCCGACTCTCTCTGCGACTCTGGGAGGTGCCAGAAGGAAGCTTTGAGGTACCAGGGGCGGGAATATTGTTGAGTTTTCGGGATCGGGTCTTTTTGATTGAGGGTGGGTTGGTAGTTGAGTTTACCCCCTCGGGCTTTCTCAATTCAGGGGGGGTGTATTGAAATGAACTCCTCGATCAGTGAAGACCACAGCTCTGTGGCTCTGTTCTAACCCTTTCCAGACAGGATTCGTTCGGGGTGCTTGGAAACCAGGTGCGCATGGGCGGCGATCTCCTACCAGGGCTTGGATGACTCTCCCCGGGCACCACTCGAATTCGGCAACTCTCAATCTGAAGCATCTGTGCTTCTAGTTCCGCCGCCTGCGAAGCCACCTGGCCTGCCAAGTCTCCATCCTGAGGCGTTTGCAGCACGAGGATGGATACAGCTGCTGAGATAGGTATGCGGTGGTCGTACTTGTAGTCGCCAATTGCCAAACACAGCACTGGTGCCATCTGATCTGCTGGCACACTATCCAACTCTTTGATGCAGCCGAAGGACACCGCGAAACAGGCCACCCTGCTCCCTTGCAACCTTTGCCGCTGCTGCGGATCTTCCACACTGTGCCAAGGCCTGACATGCCGATGAATTGTTGAAGCTGAAAACCACCAAGGCACCCCAATGAAGAAACGGCTTCGTGCCGAACCCCTGCCAAACTGCGCGCTGCAAACATTTCGCAGCATCTGACGATCTGATGTCAAATCCGTGCTCGGCACGTCTCCTGGCTACTGCTCTCTCAACCTTGTGTCATAACACTTTGTCTGCTCTAGAACTGTTTTCTGCTAACCACTCTGGAAAAGAATTACACTCGGCGGAGAGCCGAGCACAAAGCGGCGCTCTCAGGGGTGCCGGGAGGGCAAATGCATTGTATGCGCTATCCTGAGAAGCCTAGCCACTTGTTTAACCCTTGTGCTTTGGGTTTGGTGCTCGGCTCGTTGGGGTGCCACTCGCCTTTCCGCATGCGATGAGAAGAGTCGCACTAAGCCAGGCTCTCCCACTCGTCCGGCCTGGCATAGAACGGAGAGAGCCTTCGCCTGCCAGCCTGCGAATAGCAAGGGTTCCGTGCCGTCACTCTCTCGACCTTCCTGAGACCTGGCCGTCTCAAGAGTGCCTCAATACACCATAGCCACAAACCACAAGTCCGCCGGTATGCTGGGCTTTTTTGGAGAGGAGTGACACTTTGATTCTTCGAGGCCGCGTCGATCTTCTGTGGGTTTTTGTTGCCTCTTCTGTGGGTCAGAGGCCGGGGCATGAAGGCCGCTCTCTCTTCTCCTTTTTTCTTTCTTCCCAGGCACCTCTATCACTCCCTCCCTGGCTCTCCTATCTCTCCCTCCCTTCATCCCTGCCTGCCTTCCCTGTCGGGCAGGCAGTGACCCCGACCCTTGCGCCCTCGCGCTGCGCGAAGGCCCTTCGCTCTTGCTTGTTTTCTCTGTCTTTTGTCGGGCTTAGGGGCGAACCCGTATCGGGGCACGCCCTTTGTTGGCTGTCAAGTCGGGTTTGGCTGGAGGTTGCGGTTATTTGCTGCAGGCTCTGTGCCCTTCCCTCTTTTCTTTCTGTCTTTCGCCAGGGCACAGGTTGTTCCACTCGCTCTTTCTCCCGGGGCATCCGTATCCGAAAGTCTTTGCGCGATGCTTCTCTATAGAATGGAACGGTGTCCGGCCTTTGCCGTAGCCAATATCTCGGAAAAGATGAAGAGCCTGCCGCCCGGTCAAGCTGACACCTACTTCGCCAACACTACGAAAACACTGGCAGCGGCATGAAGCGACGCTCCACCAATAGAACGGGCAGGAAATCTTGTGTGCCTTTGGGCATTGGGCTCATGTCATGCAGAATGAATTGAAGTTTACTTCCGCGGCTGCACGTGGCCTCAGAGACGGGAGGGAGGGCTCTCTTTAGCTATGTCGTAGGTCGTAGGCAAAGAGCCTTTTTTCTGAAGCCTGCCTGAAGCTGGGAAGCTCCAGCGAAACTGCAAGTACAACCGGAAACCTCCACGCACGGCCACCCACTCTCAACCTCGAGCTCCAAACCCCTGCTGCTTCTCCTCCGTGCCAAAAACTGCACGCATGGCCAGAAGCAGCACAAAGCCAAGACGCACTGAGAAGTACAGTACAGGACATGATCCCAGCGGGTCTCAAGGTGTCCCCCCACTTGCCTGCTCCGCCGAAGCCACCGCTCTTCCAGGCTTGCCGGCAGCCAGCTGCCATTGCCCTATGGACACGAGCTCTGCCGCCTGACTACAGATGTTGAGGGACCATGCAATCAGAAAATTCGAAGTTCCCAACTTCCCGAATACCTCAAGAAAAAAGGGTCTGGAGTGCTGCCCTGGTTTGCTTCGTCGACGATCTGAAGACAAGCTTGCTTGGGTAAAACGGGTAAAATCCTATGGACAACAGCCTGAAGTTGATGATTGTCTAGGGTAGTCCTCCGACTCTCTCTGTCAGTCATGACGTAACTGCAAGTCTGTTTAGTTAGCTGCGCCAACCCGTCTAGCATCTCCATGCCTCCATTTTCACGTCGCCCAGCTGCGCAAACAAAGTGCATGCCTCCTCTGCCTGAGGCACACAGGCCGATACACTCCACACTCTCTACACACAACTCACCATACCACGACCAAGCGGGCGCTTTTGCCAAATAGGAAGAGATACCATCTGCCAACTGAGTCGAGTCGCGTGCACAGCAGCATCAGCGTAGCGATGTCGGCTTGCCATCGTCAGAGCAAGTCCGTGGAAAGCCTTCGCCTGCTGCAACCCTTGAAAGTCTTCGAAGCCTAGCGATGCGCCAGAAAAGCCCGGAGGTTCCTGGCCTGGTTCATCTGGTCGCCCAAGGCCTGGAAGACGCACAGCGCCGATTGTGCGGCCTTGGTCTCTCAGCTGCGCACCCCTCAACTGCCGTAAAGAATTCCTTTGTGATGCCACGCTGCATGCTCAGCTTCCTCTGGCATCTGCATCTTGGAGTAGAGGTTCGTGAGGATGAGGTAGGTAAGGGCCTGGAGACGCTGGTCTCGAATCTCCTGCCAGCTAGCTTTCACCATCACAAGACCCTTTTGCACTTGGAGCTCTCCAGTGTCTCACAGCTAGCTTTCTGCATGTATGGGGCTTGGGGCATAAAGCCGGTGTATGGGATGTGGCCCATGCACCGGATCCAAACACCCGGAAGCTTCTCCAATCCCTCTTGATAGGGGGTGGTCGTCAGAGAGCGTCCGTCAGATTGCCTCAACCCGTTTACCTCAACGACCAATATTGAAACTCACGATTCTCACTCTCCTTCTGAGTCTTCCCTGGACACGTTCACTAAGCCCCCACCATCACAGCAGCACAACATTCCGTGCCACAGCTTCCCAGCCAGCTTCCCAGCTCCTGAAATCTGACCAGCGCGGCCAAAGCCGCCTCCAGGGCCTCCGCACGCTTCCGCGCACCGCGTCGGTCCATGTTGATCTCCTGGAACGGGGGCACTGCAAGTACAAGGAGATACATGGCCATGGTGCCATGGCTAGTCTAGCCCCTGCCATCCCGCCAGCCAGCCGCAATTTCAAGCTTCACACCTTCCCTGCCACACCGCCAAGAATCGTGCGCAAGGCCTAAAAACCTCACAGCATGCTGAGCATACTGTAAAGACTTCGAGGCAGCTCTTCCAGCTTCCGGAAGTGTGGGTTTCCTTCGCGTGTTCACCAGGTGCAACCAAGAATCGGCCAAGGCCAGGAGCATGGAAGCCTCACCTCGCCGATCACCATCTGCTCTGCAGTGCTCCTCTTTCGAGGGCCAGGGACTTTGAAGCTTCTGTCAACTCCAGGCTTGTGCACATGCTTTCGCACTCACCGTACGTTTGCGCACGTCTAGTGTTACAATGCCAGCTTGACTCAGCTTACCCACACGCATCATGTCAGGATTTTGAACGAAAAATTGCAAAGCATCGTAGTTGTAGCGAAAGGCAAGGCGCCAACTCGTCCGAGGCGAGGAGAAGCGCCTGAAGACTAAGTCACGGACATGGAATCTGGAATCCCGAAGAACTGCGGCTACGAGCGACACCTCCTCGGGTTTGCGCTGCTCCACAGCAGCCTTTAAACGGTGAAACGCCACCACCACGCGCAGGGCATCGTGGACACCGTTCAGGCCCTCGCTGCCTGAAGCGATGCCGTGGACGGCTGGCATCTGCTTTGCAGCTGTCATTTTCGCAGCCTAGGGCCTAGCTGCCAACACGAAACAGCACCAGGTCTTGGGGCAAGGAGAAGATGTTGTGAGGGTGTGTCAGTCCTTCTTGAAACATAACTAGGGACTCCAAGATGCTTCGCCTTTTTCTTTGGGGATGCTAGAGCCCCAGCCCACTCACGCAAAACAAGAAGCCAGTTTCCCAAAGCCACCTGCGTCCGAAACCTGCAATCCTTGATTGTGCCTAGGCCGCGGAAGATGTTCAGCGCGTCCGTGGCAGCCCGGAGACATTCGGGCGTCAACCCATCTAAGCTGGACTCGGCGCTCACCAGGAGCTGCCGGGCTGCCTGAAACAGAACATCGAGTTCCTCAGACTCTTACAAAATCACTCACACGACTTCACGAATGGCATGGTGCCTCCTCGGTAAGACGCGGCTTGGCCGCCATGGCTCTAAGCGGTCCATGCTCGGAGCTACGCCCTCCATGGAGAAAGATGCTGCACATCGGCATGTATGTCTCGAAATGCTGCTTCCGCTGCCTGTCTTCTAATGAAAAAGAGGTTCATTGCGAGATTCAGAAGTGCCCACAATGTCACAAAAAGACTTTGGAACTTCGCTCGGTTCAGACCCGAAACGCTGGAGGAAGCAAGGCAAGCCCACCAAAACAGCCTGTGCAACGGAGTAGAATTTTACAAGGGTCCGGGCGGTGACAGATGCAATGTGCATTCCATCAGCTCCTTTGTTTGAGTGTCCAAGTCCCTTCCATCATTATCTATTCGACAAGCTGTTGGCACGCGCTCCAGTGTTTCGTTGCACCTTTGTCTGAAAAGGAGGAGCGCCCTAGAAGGAGCACACCGATACCATCAGAAGACTAGCTTCTTTGGCTCCTCATCCCGACAAGGTGTGGCACCCGCCACACTGTTTGCTGCATCTTGGATGCAGAACCAGGCTCAGCTGCGCCGTCAGTTTGCTAGTCATTTGGGTCATGAGGGGATGAACGTCAGCACCAATACAGGAACTCGTTCTTGTGTGCAGTGTTTCTGTTGGAGCGGGGTGGGGCCGTACACGAACTTGATGGCGCAGCTTGTACATTAACTTCGTCGACCTTGCTTCTGATTCTTTTCACAGCTCAGAAAACGATCATGGCAGCATCTTCCTGGCAACAGCCATCGATACGTCTCTGCTTGGGCTTTCTGCTTGGACTTTTACTGTAAGTCGGATGAGGCCTCACAGGCCCTTGCAAATGGGACAAGCCGGAGTCTGGTGTCATGGTTATGAGTCATGGTGATGCAAGCTGTGGTCCTTGTCACGCTCCTAGCCAATGCTCGTACGTGGACACATCTATGGAAACACATTAGTCATACAGGTTGGAACCTGAGATTTGCATCAAATGCATCTGGAGTCCAAGTCTTGTCCCGCGCGGTTGTCGTGAAATTCCACAGAGTCTTACTGGTGCACCGACAAAACAGGCACCTGCTACTAGAGTCTGCAGAGGCACGTGATGAGCAGGATGTGTGTCTGTGTGTGTGTGAAATCGAGCTTCAGAAAGAAAGGAGAGCAAAAGATCAGATTCTGTGGCGATGCCCAGCCTTAACCGCCTCAGAGGCGAATTGGATGGCCTCGGGACCTGCCGAGGAGTCAACTCCAGAATGCAATGGGAGCCGGATCTGCGGCAACGGCAACCCATCGGCGCAAGCGCCTGAGCTCCCTTTCCTAGTCGAGGCTCCGGCTCCGGAGTGCTGCGGCCAAAACGATATCACGATCCGCCTGCGATTCCACTGGCCCGACGGATGGCATCCATGATGCATGGAGTCGTGGCACGTCTGCCTTTAGCGCATCGCTGCTGTGTTGTAGGGCCATGCCGTCCTTGAGGGGTGTTCCGAGCAACCAAACTCACCCGTGACTGGATCATTCACTCCTGGGAAATCGCGGCGAAAACCACCTCCCTGTCCGACCTCGAAGCTTCGAGGCTTGTAGTGATAACCCCTGACTCCATCCATCGCTTCATCACAGGGTCTGGCTTTAGCGTGTCACCAGCATGTGCCAGCGCCATGGGATCCGTCTGAACCTGCCGGGCGCGACTTCCAGACAGACATCTTGCAGGGTTTTCGTTCTAGTATGAATTTCCTGGTACAACAAGCAATGCATTCGTCTCCATGCCACAACATTTGTGGCGTCTCTCGTGTGGTGCTGCAAATCATAGCCCAGCAAGGGCAAATATTGCTCGGTGCTCTGCTCAATGCGACTTCCAATTGTCTTGCCGGAGGCACAGCTGCCAGGACGACACCCTTGTCCACTCGCATCTCCTCTGCCACAACATGCCCACATCGCGGTCGCATCTCTAGAGCGTGCTCCACGTGCTTTAAGAAGCCCTCGAATGGTCAGCTTCGGATCTTGAGCTGGTCCTGCGGCAAGTGCCGAAGCAGGGCACTGTTGCGCCTCAGCGCTCCCAAGTGTAGCGATAACGCAAAAAGAAGAAGGCCTAAAAGGGCCTCAAGGGCCTAAAGCCTGGGGGCACCCGCTTCACCGCGCGCTTTGCTTGCCGCTTGTCCACGCCTCAGTTGTCAGGGGACCTAAATGTCACCGCAGAGTTCCACTGCATGACAATACATATGAACACTATGCAGCTGCATTGATGAGACACACATGGAGGCAGGGACCCGGCTCCGGAGTCCAACGAGATTCAGACCCGAAAAATGCATCGTGAACAGGACCCCCCTGCAACTGAAGACCCCATACTACATACTGCTACACATCTGGACTGGCCTCGCAAATTGTCTGTGCAACATTCGGCTACGATCGCTGAAGTTGGGCTGATTGTACTACCGAGAAAAACAAGCATGCTAACTCAAGACACCGCCTGAGGACAGGGCAGATCGCTGGGTTTGCTGCCAACAGCGCGGACGGGTCCTCAAGTCAGAATACGACAAGCCAAGGCACAACAGGTTGGGCCAACAAGCTAATCAATACCCAAGAACGCATCACGCTGAAGCACGCCTGGCCTCTATTCTGTACAGCTTCTGCAGAACACACCGCCTCGCCCGAAAGGCTGAGCATGCCGCCACCCCTCCCCCACTCCAAAACCGTGGCTCCGGCAGCACATGTCTAGCAATCATGCGGTTGGTGTTCTCCAACCTCAGCGCAAGATCGCCGCTTGTCCGTGTGCCACACTGCACGAGAGACGGACATGCGGGTTTTGACCCTATGCAGCCCATCTCGGCATGGCACGGGCACGGCAAGACGCCAACATGCCCGCGGCTTGGGCCTTGGAATACACGCCAAGTCGACTCTATCGAGTGGACAGCATACACGGTCATGGCCACAGGCACACATCACAAAGGGCCCCTGCTTAGAGTGTCTGGCTGTTGCAGCTCCGACGGCTCCTGTTTTCGACAAAGCATGCTGGCCCCACATGGCCAGCATGCTGGCTTCGACATGCTCCGAGAAAGCTGTACGGCTGGCCTTCGCGCTGATTCTTTGGAGGATGCCTCGCCTTGTCGGATTCTAAAACCATCTGGGACGCACTTTTTTGAGGCAGTGTGGGTACGTTCGGTCATGTGCCATCAATCTGCTGAGACGAACACAGAACGTGCTTGGCAATCCGCCGGTTCTCCAGCTCCAGCCGTGATTCGGACCTCTTGGATGTGCCGGTATAATTGAGTTTTGACTAGAACCTGCCCCAACCATGCGAAGCCCGACACAGCTTGCACTCGCAAGCAAGACACCGAAGCACCGAGAGACCAGCTGAAAAGATGCTGCTTCAGCCTGGTGCTGTGTCAGCATCCCGAATGACTGAGGATGACTGGCGTGACGATACCACGAAAGCAAATTGAAGACATTCACCTCGCAACATTGGCCAACAAGGTGCCTCCGCGATGCTCATCTTTTGGAAAATGTCGCGCCTGGACTCGGCACGAACAAGCCCGCAAAACGTAGGTGCGAATCTGAAGCAGCTCTTGCGTTTGACCAGGTGCAACCTGTCAGAAGAATCTCGGCACAGGTGCAACATGCATCTCGCGAGTCGTCGGTTTGCCAGCTGCTTCGGCGACCTTGGCGCACCAACATGCTTGCAGCAACGGCCTCCGACGAAAATGGGTCGTAAATATCATGTGGCGTGTTCGCTACATGTCCATATATGTATGCATGTATGAATGCATGCATGCATGTATGTACAGATGTATATGTAGTTGCAGGTATGCATGTTTTTCCCTCTCGCATTGCTGAGAACGATGCTCACGGCAAAGTCTGCTTTGGAAAGACACATCAAAAAACTTTTGAGGAGGTCAGCCCAGTGAAATCAACATCCTAAAAAGAAAAAAGCATCCCCAATTAAATGCCATGCATGTGGGAGCGAGGATGTGTTTTGATAACTTGTTGGTTCCTTTTTGTTTGTTGCTTATCAAGTGGGTTTCGGACCATTACCCGATGGTTCTGAATGTCCTCGCTTTCTGCACGGGGTTCTTCTTTGAATCGTTTTTTCGTTTCGTCTGTGCCGTTGTGTTGTTTGCGGCTTCCCCACCTGTTCAGATCCCATATGCTCTGAAGAGCCTGATCGATTCAGTCAGCTTTTAAGAACACTTTGATAGGGTTCTGATGGATGTCCACTGGTTTAGCTGCAATTCGATGGATCTTGACAGTTTCGGAATAGGATCGCACTGGCATTTTCATGGCTACAATTTGAACGCTTCTGCTTGCGGCATATGAACTTCGCAATGCGGGCGACTAGTGCCAATAACAAGATCAGAATAATCACGAATACAATTTGCACCGCACTAATGGTAAACTAACCATGATACTGGTAGACATAGTAATAAAACCTACAAAGTTTCAAGAGTGATAACAGCAAGAGGAGTCACAATTGCTCTAGTAATAATATTGCAGCAGCAATAGCAAACGCAGAATAGTGATGATAATTGCCATGGTGCTAAAAGTACTAAGACTGCGTAACAATGGTAACCAAACATCACAAGGTTATAAGCATGATCAGAATAAAAGCAGTTTGAAAAATCAATAGCAACAAGCGGGAATAGCACAAGAACACAATGGTACACTAATGGCACCGGCATAACAAAAATCACCACAATAATAAAGTCCCCCCATTGGCAAACACAATGGTGGGTTCGGAAAGGGCTCACATGGGTTGTGCTCTTGTTGGTACCATGTTCCTTGAAGCAAGTTTAAAAAAAAAAGCGGGGGTGTCGGGGGGCGCAGCCTGGCCCCCCCCCTCCGCCCCACCCATGTGTTTTTGCTTCGGGGCTCCGTAGGATTTGCTAATAACGCAGCCATGCTGGACAAACATAAGGATGGGTTGGGAAAGGGTTTGCAAGGGTTGTGTTTTGCTGGTACCATGTTCCTTGTCGCAAGCTTGCGCGGCTTGGAAAAGGGGGTGGGTAGGGGCACAGCCCCCCGCGCTATGTGCAAACGCAAGGCGTATAGGGGGGTTCGTGG